GCTTATATAACTGGCTGTGTATGATGTATGTCGAGATTGAGTGATGTTTATATGCAGGGTAAGAAGCTGGTATTTGTAACAAATAACTCAACAAAATCAAGAAAGCAATACGCCAAGAAGTTCCTTTCCCTTGGAATTCTTGTTAATGAGGTGTTACACTCTGGTTTTTAGTAGTACTGCAACTACCAAAACTACATATGTTCAATTCTATTAAAATTAAACTCTTATTGTTTCTGCAGGATGAGATATTTTCGTCCTCATTTGCTGCAGCAATGTATCTGAAAGTCAATGACTTTCCAAGAGAAAAGAAGGTCAGTTATTATGTCGGTTCAAAGTGTCTTTCGTCCCCCCCCCCCCCTGGTTTTTGTTACTGGGGATGGGAGGGAAACAAACTGTTGGGAAACTGTGCGATTTAAGACTGGAAAATTTGTCTTAGATAATGTGTATTCATGACTGGACTATATAGGCGTAGATGACTACATAGATGATCTCAATGAGAGACTTTGAAACTTGCTAATCTGAGTTCTGAGGAAGCAGTATTCTAGTTGTGCAAGGACAATAGTTGGATGATTAGGATAGAAGTTTTCTGAACTACAAATTTGCTTGCTAAAACAATTACATCGGACTGTTTATTGAAAGATTTAGTCCTGTAGATGGCTGAAGGTTTCTATATTTTGGCTCCAAATGGCAACAGTGGGTAACTATATTTGTTGCCTCACACAATTTAGAGACCAAATTCTAAACTAAGCACTTCTTTTCTTTATTAACCCCACTTGTGGGAGTCCACTGGATATGTTGTTGTTGTTGTTGTACAACTTTGGGAATAAATACGGAAAGGCATTGTGATTATGAGCTAAAACTTTTTAGTGGAATTTAGACTTTTTAAGCTAAATCTCCTAATACACACTGGAAGAATCCCCAGTAGCAAAGTTGAGATCCCAAGGATCATGTAGCATTGTGTTGCCAATGTGCTAGGTTTTTTCCATTTTACTTAAATCACTTTCTACATATATCAAAATATGAGATTTTCTGAGTTTGTTTTTATTGTTTGCATATGAAAGCATTTCGTATCTTTTATGTTGAGCGATTGTAGTCTTGTCATTTCTATCTCAAATCCCAGAACTTGATTAGTCTGCTTGTTTCTTTTTTGAATTTCAATAGATTTCTAAATTTCTCATTCAATGCACTTTCATCATAATTGGAGATGTTGGGTTGTGTGTAGCTGAATGCAAATTCTTTTCATTGCCCAAAACTTGAGTTTATAGCTTGATTTACATCTTCATTTATTTCACAAAAAGTATTCAGCATTGAGGTCATGTCGAAACATAACCTAGTGTGACTTGTTATCCTCTAACTTCTCAGTCATTTTCCCAGCTCATCTAAGATTTAGTCGTGAACTTGATTTGGCAGGTTTATGTAATAGGCGAGGAAGGCATACTGGAAGAACTGGAGCAAGCTGGGTTTACAGCACTAGGTGGCCCGGTATGTGATTTTCTCTTTACTCTCATATACTTAGTAAGTTGAATGCTGTGCACCCCCCCCGCCCCGGGAGTTTTGGCTGCTGTATAGATTTTACGTTTTGCAGCTGAATTCGGACATCCTTGCAGGCTGATGGAAAGAAGAATATTGAACTGAAGTCAGATTGTCTCTTTGAGCATGATAAGAATGTAAAGTGCACCATTTTCTATAACTAATGTGGGCTTCTTCTCGACTATTGTATACTGAGCACAAATTATTCTATTTCTATTTTCAGGTTGGAGCTGTTATCGTTGGACTTGACCAACATATCAACTTTTATAAGCTACAGTATGTCTCTTATAAGGCCTTGCTTTTTTATGAACTTGAATTGTAGCTTCACTGAGAGGATAGTCTTTTGTCATCGAGGGAGTTTTGGTAAACTAATGTATGAAAGAATGCTGTTTCCTAATCATTTCCGAAAATTGGAAAATATTTTTTCAAGTATGTACTCAAGCAAAGCCGAAAGACAAGTTATTCATATCTTGCTTTTGCTATTTGCTAAACTTACGTTGAAATGTCATTGTTGATGGCTTCATGTAGGTATGGAACTCTATGCATCCGTGAGAATCCTGGTTGCCTTTTTATCGCGACCAATCGTGATGCAGTGGGACATTTAACTGATCTTCAAGAGTGGCCTGGTAAATATCACCTTTAGTGCCTTTTCATCGCGACCAATAAAGATTGATTTTACATTTGAGTATTCCGCTAAAGCTTGGTACTTCACTAATGATCTTTTTGCTTGTATCTGTAGGTGCGGGATGTATGGTTGCTGCAATATGCGGAACAACCCAAAAAGAGCCTATTACAGTTGGGAAGCCATCGACCTTTCTGATGGACTTCCTATTGCAGAAGTAAGAAAGTTATATGCAGCTTAGCATACCAACCTAAATGAGAAAGCTAGTTATGAACGATACGTTCATATTGAGTAAACGTCATGGTAGTTCCAGAGTTGCTTAATTCTTTGAAAACTTAATATTGGTGCCATTTCTCATTCAACAGGTATAACATCACTACATCCAGGATGTGCATGGTGGGTGACAGATTGGACACCGATATTCTATTTGGACAGAATGCCGGGTGTAGAACTCTCCTTGTATTTTCAGGTCTACGAATCCTCTCCATTTCCTCGTTCATTTTCGAAAAGGTCCAAATCTGCTCTAGTACTATCCAACATTGTTCAGTTTTGCCATCCGTTACACTTTTTGGTCAATTCATGCCCTTCTCATTAGTAAATCGTCTCTTACTTGCCCTTGACTTTAACGGATCTCCAACATGAAATGAGTGAACTCCACATATCCATGTTGGAGCTCCGTTAGAGGTCAGAGCCAAAAACACGACTTTTTCCTTGCAACGAAGGTAATAATATTAAACCAGAATTCAAACGGAGGGCAAAGTTGTACAATTTCCCGATAGTACAAGAGCAAAGTTGACCCTTTCCTCGACTTGTTTTGAAGTAGTCGATTCAATTTCCAATAATAGCCACGCTAAACAAGAAATCGTCCATGCTTCTATGATTTGCAGGTGTGACAAATGAATCAAATTATGAAGATCTATCCAAAGAAGTTAAACCAGAATACTATACCAATTCTATAGCTGACATGCTCAGGTATATCTAGATTGATATTTGAAGGTGGTATGTTATGTTTCCCATTCTTTGCAAACAGCAAAAGCTGCCTCCCCATTGTTGAAACAAGTAAATTATTACTTACTAGAAATGGCACCGAATTAGAATAACAAAGAAAGACGTTGTAGATGTCTAGGGTGGACACGACTTCTTCTGTCTAACTTGGTGTGTGTAAGAATTTCTATTCCAGACCTTACTTGTGGGCTCATTGTTGTTGTAAGTCAAACTTAAATATCTCAAAACTTTATGAAATGATAATCCTAAGGAGTTTGTTTGGTTAACAAATTATAGATTTAATATTCGATATCTCATTGAACTTGATATTATTTTATCACATTTCTTAAATATGTTAAATTAATCGAATGATTATAATTTTAGAATTATAATTTTGAAATAACTTCAAGCGTAAATCCAACGGCCCCTTAATTTATATTATGACTAGTTGCTATGTTTATTTTAGTGCTCACAATGTAGTTTTAAATTTGTATTCTTGTCATTTTTTCGTTCGACTGATGGGCTATTTTTTAAAAAGAAAAAAAAATCTCAATTGTGCAACGTGTAACACCAAGTATTTGAGAGTCAACATTTAAACAATTTAATAATGATCTTAATTGGTATTTAAACACTGCAATTTGTATTTATTATGCTCCATGATATTCGAATATGTCATATAAATTTTAAAAATACTTTGCATAATAATTTTACAAGTTAGCGTGTTCAACTATCATGGTAAAAGAAATAAATTAATACATCATAGATGTGCAAATCTAAAATTAGAGTGTTAGCTTTGATAGGTGAAGCAAGGTTTGAGCATTTTTAAAAAGGAAAAACTACATGAACTAGTATATTTTTAAAAATAATTATTGATTTTAGCGATACGATTTGTTTATTATCATTTATAGCAATATTGTGATAAATTTGTAATATGTATTAAAAGTGAATTATGTATGCGATATATTTGAATTATAATTGTTTTTGAAATGTATTTTGTTTGTTTGGTAAAAAATTGTCATATTGTATTATAAGTGTATTAAAATGTGTGATAAATGTATTATCCATCATTAAAACTTGTATTATATTTGAATAATAAATTTATCTTTATAATATATATTAAATTTGTATTATAAATAAATTAAAAGTGATTCAATGAAAAGAAAATGTTATTACTATAAATGATAAATATTTTTTATTATAATATATTTATGTAAATTTCCCTTTTAAAAACAAATACTTACTTTTTATCTTGTCCTCCACTCATACTACTATACCTTTTATTTTTTTGTCATATATGGCGTTCTATGTAATTAGAGCGTTAGCTTTGATAGGTGAAACAAGGTTTGAGCATTTTTTTTTATTTGCAAAATACATTTTTAAAAATAAACTTACTTTTTATCCTGTCCTTTGACTCATACTACTATATCTTTTAATTTTTGTCATATATGACGTTCTATGTAATGTCTTATATGTTCCACGTAAGACATGCATATCTACTTGTTTAATTTTATATAAATTTAAGTTTTATTTTTATACATTTAAAATTGAAAAATACAAATATTCATTAAAATTAAGTTAAAGAGCATATTAATATATTATGATTTCTTTCTATATGCCTTAAATATTACTTTCTCTGTATCAAATTATGTGACATTTTCCGTTTTTCGAGAATCAAACACTTAAAGTTAATCGAGAATTTGCGCATCAAATCTTTAATTTTTTAAAAGTGAAATTTATATACTTACAAATTACGTAAAAAAGTATTATGACTCACAATAATTTACAATTCAAAACATTTAAAAAAATATATGAAAAATTCACAATCGAACAGACATTTGTTTGAATCTCTAAATCTGAAAAATGCCACATAAATTGAGGCAAAAAAACATTATTTTTTTGGCTCCCCCACCAATTGTTCGAAGTTCACGTTAGAACTCTAATTAAATTATAACCACACAATACATGATCCATTCAAAAATAATAATACTCCTAATATAATTTTCACCTACTCAGAACTCAAACCCGAGACCTCTAATTACGTTCTATATAAGTTACTTAAATCGCTTTTATACGTAAAAGACTTGGGCCAAATTAATTCCAAAAAATTAAAGAGTATTTTTGTTATTTTGCCACTTATATATATCATCTATAAATATATAATTTTAACCCACCATCAACTTAGGATCTAAATTTTTTCAAATTCAATAAAATTTCATTGTTGGCTAATGAAGAAGTTGTTCAAAATTCTCTTATTGCTTTCTATAATTTGTCTTCTCCTAACCTCAGCCGTCTCTAAAGGCGGCGGCGGAAGGGGAGGCGGCGGCGGAAGATCTAGTCGAGGCTCAAAAAACAGAGGCCGTCGCGGCGGCGCTGGGTGGCGGCCGATACCTTACGGTGGTCATCCGGCGAGTAGCAGTGCATCTAATTCATTAGGGTACTGCTCTTGTTTTGCCACGTCATTTTTTACTTACTTTTCATTTTTTTTAATTTCTTAAAAAAATTTAACAGCTTTGTAATATTCAATTTACTTGTCTGCTATGATAAAAAATAGTTGTCTTATGATATTTGTTTAGTTTAAAAAATAAAAAAAATTATTTAAGCTTTTGTGCCTGTTTTGCCCTTATTCAATATCTAATAATTTTTTCAAAGTATTAACTATAATATACTATTCAATAGATAATATAGTTATATTATTCACATTATTTATTATTTTTTAAGTCGATAGTGAATAATTATTGTTGGATGAAAGGAGTATTAGATGAAAACGCTTCGAACTTAGATCAAATTATTAATTTTGCGTTCTCGAATGATTGATAGTTTGTACTTAATTAACTAAATTTAAATACACCTTCAATCTGGCACACGACTTATTAAGTGGTCTCAAACTCTTGTATGAACATAAGACTCTTAGTAAAAAAGCTGAGGGAAATATTTAAAAATGACATCTCTAGACTTGTCAAGAATTCAGGAGTGTATCTCACTCATGTTATAATAAAATAGAGAATGTATTTAAATTCAGTTAATCAAGTAATGAAATATTTTTAAAATTGTCAATTATTCGAGGATAAAACTAATAATTTGCGATAAATTTATATAACAAGATAATGGTCCTTTTTCTTAACTTTCCACTAACAAAAAACGTGTTGTGTATCGAGGGAGGGTTCTTTTAGGTATTATTCTTTTGGTCATGATTAAAGATTGTATGAAATATATTAATGTGTTGTAATGTTCTTCTTTGGAAAACTATTAATGTTGATAGTTAATTGATATTTTTCTTGAGTACTTTGATTGTATACCGTATAAATCTTTTGAATCCTTGTATAATTATATGAAAGTTAAATTCATGATATCAATTAAGGGTAAATTAGTAAATTAGTTAAAAATTCAAACATAGTTATTAAAAGTATTTATATTTTATAAATTTTAGTAAAAATGTCAAAATGTCAATATTTTAAAAAATATTGTATATCCTAATTTAGTTCCTATTTTATCTTACCTTAATTATACATTTTCCAACTCATTCTCTCATATATTTTAAAAAATATATATTTTTTCCCTCTCACTATTCTTCTTTCTCTATCAACTCTCACCTCTCTTTTCCGTCCTTTTTGAGTTTTTTTTTCTGCAGAAATTTGGAAATATATATCTAAAGATATTCACAACAATCTTTTTGATTAAGGTATGCATCTTCAACCGATTTTAGGTTTGTTTACTTTATTTTTTGTTTAAATTTTTCAAAAGTGTTGTTTGTAGTTGAGTATTAAATTGACCAATTTTCGTTTAAAGATTGAAAATCATAAAATCACTCTCTGATGGTCGAATCTAGGAGGATTACAAGAGGTATGCAACTTAATCGACAATTTTCTAATTGATTTTTCTTCTTTTAATATATATATAATACTCAAGAAATAACGGATAATATAGGATCCACTTCCAAAATAACAGAAGAGAGATGATCAAAGAGTTGATATTTGCATTTTTTTGTATTACTACTAATAAAAGAAAAATTGAATGTAGAAGATTTCGAAAACTTGTTGAAGAATAATTTTTTTTTTCAATTTATTTTGTCTTTATAGTTCTTTTTTAGAATTTGGTATTCCTTCTCAATTGAATTCAAAATCACTAAATATGCTATCAATATTTGTATTATTAAAAATCTGTCACTAATTTATATTCAATTTCAAAACAATGTGTTATATATGTCATGTGTTTTCTTGCAATTTAGATTCATTATTTAGGTAGAGTCACACTTTCTATTTTAATTCTGTATTTGAACCATGAATTAATTAACTTTAAATTTGTGTTAAAAATTATATTAAAAAATAAAGTATTTCCTAACAAAGCAAATTATTATTATAATTTTTAGATAACTATATTAAGGTTAAAATTACTTCTCATTTACCCTTAATGAGAAGTATATATTGACAACATACAAAACTTATCATATGCAACGTCTAACTTGGGGTTAAATTTTATGAGTTTAACTTTTAAGACTTTTCATATTAGATACATTATATCTCTTAAAAAATCATGGCTTCATAGTTCAAGCCTATGATTTATTACAATTTAGTAAATTTTAAATATAAATTTATTTGTATTTGTAGTACTGAATTCATATATTGGTGCAGTATTACATTCATCTTGACGTGTTTAAGATCATAAGTTACAAAAGTCTATCGTTACACAAATATTATAACATGTGTAAGTTTATAAATCTCAAAACCATTTTTCTTTTTAAATTAAAATTTTATATATTGTGAAGAAAATTTTACATAAATTAAAACGGGAGGAGTATAATATATTATTAGACATTTGATTACAAGGCTGCACGTTTTAGGAGAGGAATTAATTAATATGATGCTTCTTCTTTTTGCCAATAATGTTTGCTTATATTCCTTGTGTTAAACACATTTTAGACTGAAATGTTTTTCAACTTAGTAATATTAATTGCAAAGCTAATTAATCATTGTATACGTTATAATATATTGATTTCTATTGCATGTGGAGGAATAATAATAATACATCCACTTACCCTAAAGTTGTTTATTCATTTCTTCAAAGTTTTAAAGATCCACAGCCTAAAAGAGAACTTTAGAAAAAAAAAATGGTACTGCAATTTTAATTAGTAAAGTTTTCTATATGAAAAGTGAATTAATTTAGATTCACGCTATATATATAATGTCTGATTAACAAAAATAGAAAAATCATACACGGTGAATCGATAAGTTTTTCCCTTAAGAATCCGAAGATATATGTTAATTATTATAATTTAAATCATCTAATATTTGAAGCTCACTAAATCAATTAACTTAGAATTGTAATAACTAATATGTATGGTTCAATTAGGTAGGCATTGTGCCTCAACAATAACAATAAAAATATTAAGATACTTTATCGCTACGAAGATAGCTGATATAGATTATATTTTTTTAAAAGATCTAATAAAGTGTTTAGACTCAAAAATTCGAAATTTGTGATTAAGGGGAAGAGAGTGGTGTTAAAAGCAAACAATATAAATGTGTAGTGTTTCCTTTAGCCATTTAAATTCTACTTTTTATATAATATATATAATATAGCTAGCAGCCAAAGATTTTGCTGTTTGATTTGTCTCCTCCTTTTCATCTCACCTTTAACTTTACATTATTTTTTTATTTTCTCAAGTGCAATGCATCATAGATAGACATGTAATTATATGTATGTATATATATATAATGTTCATTAATTAGGTTTCCTTTGATGTGTCTAAATATAATTTAGAAACCTTGTTTTCAAGAACCAATACTATATATATCATGGTATTGGTTAAGTTTTTTCTTGTTCTTATACTAATGTCATCTGTATTTATACCGTCAACAGCGGCGATTAAAGGCGGCATAGGAGGAGGAGGACGCGGAGGAGGAGGAAGTTCCCGGGGATTCACAAGGCGGAGAACCGGTGGCGATCTTAATAAGAAGCACCAATATTATTCAAGTTCTTCATCTTACTCTAACCTTGCTTCAAATAGTCTATTTATTCACTTCCTTGTTGCTCTTTTTTTGTTGTAAGTACATAAGTTGCTGGCGAATTTATGATCTCGAGTCAGTAAATTCAGAATATATGTGATTTATTATTGTATGCAAGGATGTATCTAAGACGAGTTGTGAGTACAAAGTTGGAGACAAATATATGATCTCGAGTCAATTAATTCACCATATGTGATTTATCATATGCAAAACAAATTTATGAAGTCCTGAATTTAGTAGGTTTAACTTAATCAATTACTTTTCTGCTCCAAGTTATATGTATGCAAAGGAAAATATAAAAAGGTATACGTATAATTGTTGCATAAAGTGACAAAAAATAAATTAAAATTACAAGAGAAATAATATAAGAAATATAATTTTATTGATTAAGATAAATTGCAAGTACAATTCGATTGATCCTTTGATTCTACTCTCCTAGGATTTATCCAATAGTATGCATGATTCGAGAGCCGTTAGTGGCGTATTTGTCGAACTAGGATGATTTAGAATAATCCATCAATTTGTGAAGTATTCGAGATTTTTATCTTTATGGAATTTTTGATTTGCCTTTTAAGGGAATTTGTACCCTTTATATAGGCATAAATTAGGATTTGTGAAATATTCGAGATCTTTATCTTTATGGAATTTTTGAGATGCCTTTTAAGGGAATTTAGTACCCTTTATATAGGTATAAATTAGAATTTATGGTTGAGTAGCCTCCAAAAATTCTAATTTGAATTGAATACAATTTATACAGTACCAACTTGAATTGAAAATTTCAATAAAATTTCAATTTCTACAAATTTTAAGGCGATCAATGTCCGATCGTATTTTATATGTGTAGTCGGAAGATTATCTAGTACTAGCGCACATTAATTAGTACGACAATATTAATACAATATTAAAATACAATTATTGGGTAGTTTGATTTGCCATATTAAGATTATGCGTTATTATCTCTATAAAAAGGGAAATAACTTATCCGTCACAAAAAATGCAATCGACTTTTGAGAAAAGATTCAGATATGTCATTCATTAAAAGTTAGATTTATCTATGTTATTTTCGTTGATCAAAGGCTTATTCATTAACATTATTTGTTTAACGGAAAACATTTTCGATTTGGCAAAATCATTTTTAACACATGATCAATTATGATTCAGTCACGTTATTAATTAAATTATTTGTAAACGGAAAAGACTTAAATATATCATCGAACTTTGAGAAAAGACTTATATATATCATCTGTTAAAAATTTGACTCATATATATCATTTTAATTAATAAATAAGTTTTAAAAGAAAGAAAATAAGAATAAAGTTCTTTAATAGTAAGAAACAAGAATAAGGTCCTTCAATCTTTATCTCAAAAAATTATAACACATATTTAAAGTCTAGTTGGGGAGCAATTTACCCTTTAATTTATGTCATGATGAATATCTATAGTACAACTAAAATGGATTTTTTTTTTTAATGAATTATGGATATACGCAAACATTTTCCTATCTGAAACAGAAAAAACCAGTATACAGTAACTTTTATGTACACTCCAAAGAAAAGTCAAATTTAGTAAAAAAATTCCTCTTTGTTAAAAAAAATAATAAAAAAATCTCATAGTATATGAGAGCTTTATACTATATATATTACTCTTTTTATTTATATTTATTTATGTGATATATGTAGAATTTGAAGTTCATCAATTTTTTCAACATATTTTATATATTATAGCCAACCAATTTTTTTTTAATATAGAGAGAGAGATATTTTTTTAAGTTGTAATTTATTGTGATTTATAGTTTTTTTTAAGTAATTTTCATATGATATATATTACTCTACTTGTGTTGATTTATGTGATACAAATGAAATTTTAAAAGTCAATTAATTTTTTTTATAAATTCTTTTGATATTTAAATTATTTATTATTGTGATTTACAATTTATTTTACGTATTTTATATAACATCTTTCTTTTTATCCTAATTTTTAGGTATAGATGAAATTTTGAGAGTCAGCAAATTTTTTTTGTAGTTTTTTAAATTTTAAGTTTTAATTATTATGGCTTATAATACATTTTACATAATTTTAAATATCTATAGTTAAATGAATTTAAGTTTTGTGCACTCTCGGTGTATAAAATTTTCTACACCATCATATAGTTTAAAAGATAAATATGGTAATTTAATTAAGTAATTAATGAAATATCTTTTTGAATATAATTATAAATTTATAATTAGATAAAAAAGGAAACGTAAGTCCTCTTTCTTCTCTAACCAAAATTAGTTTATAATTATCTTCTTAATTAACCAAATTTATTTGTTTTTCTACATTTGATTTTTTTTCATCAAAATTTATTTTTCAATGTCACAAATGTTTTCTTATTTGTCGTTGTTTTTTTCTTTTGAAGTTTTGGCAAAGTCATGATCCGTAAACACGATAACAAGAATTTAAAAACATAAGTAGCAATTTATTATTTTAATTTATAATATTACGATATCTCAAATATCACGAAGATCAAAAGGTTGATAACAATATAATCACTAATATAAATAATATCTCTTAGAAAATTCATAAACAACTTGAAAACATAATTTAATTGAAAAATCAATACAACAAAAGAAGACAAATACAAAAAAAAAACAAGAAAATAAAGAGATAGAAACAAATAAAATCATATTAAGAAAATTAAATAAACTTGGTTAGTTAAAAAGATAACTATGAACTAATCTTGGTTAGAGAGAAGTGTCACGACCCAAATTGGGCCGCGACTGGCACCCACACTTACCCTCCTATGTGAGCGAACCAACCAATCTAAACCTTAACATTTCAATATAATATCAACAGAAAGTAATGCGGAAGACTTAAACTCATTAATAAAAACCAATTCAATAACTTCTAAAAACTCAACAACTATTATTATCCCC